TTTTTTTTTTTTTGAGACAGGGTCTCACTGTGTAGTTGAGACTGACCTGGAACTCACTGTGTAGCCCAGGCTGGTCTCAAACTCACAGCGATCCTCCTGCCTCAACCTCCCGAGTGCTGGGATTGCCGGAGTGCGCCACCACGTCCGGCTTCCCTAGCTTTTCAAGGTAGAATAGATTGTATGCTGGAGTTGAATTATATTCACCTGAAAGCAACACTTCTTTTCCTTAAAACTCTTTTCTAGATTCGAATTGCAGCTTTAAATGCCAGCTCTACAGTTGAAGATGATCATGAAGGAAGCTTTAAAAGTCATAAAACCCAGACAAAGGAGGCTCAGGTATGTAATATAATATTTTCCTCTACAGGTAGACCTTACTTTTCATTTCTGTAGATGGAACCTCATTTTAAATGTTTTCAGACACCTGAAATTGCAATTTTATGGGGAAACTTTATTTCTTTCAGTGCTGGTAATTGAACCCAGAGTTGCAAACATGCTAGGCAAGTACTCTACCACTGCGGTACACGCCCATTGAAACTCCATTTTGAAAGATAGCTAGCTTTCCATCTCATGTTAAATCTGTTTCACTTCGGGTAAGTCATGCTGAAGAGAAATTATATCTGTTCTGTGAGTGTATTGAAAGGTCCACTTTTCTAGCTGAGGCCAGCTTTCTCTTCAGCCTATATGTGTAGGTGCCAGTGTTGGCATACCCAGATGTGAATATTTATGGTAAATGGCCCTTTAAGGTTCCATAGTGTATTGTTCTCACTGTACAGTGTACTGAAACCTTCTGAGGAGAGCTGCCGTGTCCAGGTTCTCCCTCCGGGAGAGTGGAGGAGCCAGGTCCCGTGTCAGCTTTCTAGGTTCTTGATCATTCCTCTCTATGCTGTTAACCATCTGTCTGCCTTCCTTTCACCTCCCTCTTTTTCTTTTTTTGCTCCTTCCCTCGTCCTTGCCCTACCCTTATGTAACAAGGGTTTGCTCTTGTCTTTTGTTTTCCCTGAAATAAACGTATGTCCTTTTCCTCCCTTTATGGGAGAAACTGGGACAGTTCCTGAGCCTTCTCAGAAAAAATCTAGTCAGCCCAGTACAGTGGTGCATGCTTGTAATCCCAGCTACTCAGAAGTCTAAGGTAGGCGAATCACAAGTTCAAGGCCAGCCTAGGCAATGTAATGAGACCCTGTCTAAACATTTAAAAGAAGAACCGAGGATGTAGCTTAGTAGTAGAATATGTATTGAGCATGCATAAGGCCTGATCTCCAGTACTGGGGAAGAAAACAAGGCTACTAGTTAGCTGTCCCTGGTCTTCGAGAATGTTAATGGGAACAGCCAGGCATGGTGACGCACGCCTGTAACCCCAGCACTTCGTATGCTGAAATAGAAGGATTGTGTGCGGGAGTTTGAGCCCAGCTTGGGTACAGAGTGAGTTCAAGGCCAGTCTGAACTATATATATAGCAAGACTGTGCTTTATACAACCAAAAACAAACAAAAAAAACCCCAAGAATGTTAGTGCGATAGAGTGGAATGTTGGAGGAGGTTGTCACCTTCCCCAAGCAGTGATAAGGTTAAGACAGAGAGTAGAAAGCAGTACAAAGTGGGGTGTGTAGCTCAGTGTTCGAGTGCATTCTAAGCATGTGTGAGGCCCTTGGTTCACTGTCTTGTACTAAGGAAAACAAACAAAAAAATAAAATAAAAGAAAGCAGTGGAAATGGTGTTCAAATCAAATTACTTTTACCCGTAGCACTTCTGACATCAAATGTGTGGGGTGGTTTTTCCCACCACCAACCAAAAGTCCAACTTTCCAGACACCAGCCGAGTGTGCTACAATTCAGTCAATCCTGACACTAACCTTCCTGAATCGGTGTGAGACTCCACAAGTTTAATGGCTCCGTCCAACTAGATTGTCTTTACTTGAGATGCCAGTTGAGTGCCCAGATACCCCTATGTCTGCTGGCCTGACACTAAAGTCAGATTCTTACCCCTTACCTGCTTTAGGTTTCATCGTTTGCTCATATGGCCTTGAATTACATCGATCAGTTTATTAGAAAGGATACAACCCAGGACCAGCCAAATGGAAGGGAGACATAGGACAAGGTAGAGGGACTGGTGGACTGAGTTTCCAGGTCTCTCTTGTGCGCACACTGCCCTCCTAGCACCTTGATGTGTTATTCCTCAACTCATATGCTCTCCAGACCCCATCCTTTAGTTCTGTTACACAGGCATGGTAGATTAAAACACGTGATCAACTCAGTCTCCAGCCTTTTTCCCCCACTCTGAAGGTTGGAGATGGGATGAAAGAACTGGAAGTTCCAAGCCCTTAATCATGGTTGGTTCTTCTGGTGCCAGCCCAATCCTGAAGTAATCTAGGAGACCCCTCCTATAATCCCACTAATTTAAAGCTGGTCTGATTGAAAGGGGCTTGCTTGTTATGAATAACAAAAGATACCTGACGTACACACTTAAAGGAGAAAAGGTTTGTTTTGGCTTATGATTTCAGAGGTTTCATCCATGATTGGCTGACTCCAGGGTAGAAACATGGCAGAGGACGTGAGAGAGGAAAGCTACCCATCTCATGGCAGTCAGGAAATGGAGGACAGTAGAGCCAGAGAGAGAGGAAGGGGCTGGGGCAGGATGTACCCTTTAAAGGTGTAGCCCAGGGACTTACTTCCTCCAACTGGGCCCCACCTCCTCACAGCCCACTCAGCCATGAACTCATCAGTGGCTAATCCATTGATGGGGTTAGTGCCCTCATAGTCCAGTCATGTTTCTAGGCCCCACCTTGGAATGTGGTTGCGCTGGGGATCAATCCCTCTCCATACATGAGTCTTTGGGAGACACTTCATAATTAAACCAAAGCATACCCCATAACTCAGGAAGCTCTAAGAGTTTCAGAAGGTCCACCTTACCTTAGGAACAATGGACAAAGATGAAATATGTACTTAATGCAGTGCCACACACACTGTCAACTTCTCTGATTTAATGTGTGGCTACTTTTCTGGTTTCACCCAGCGTGGGTCATTGGGCTCGTAATTTGGCATAGTCTGAATCTATGTGGCTCTTTGTTTTTGCTGGAGCTTGCCGTAGTCCCGTCTGATTCACTTGTGTCTCCGTAGAGGGTTCAGAAGGGGTTCTTCTCCCAGTGATTAGCTTCTGGCAGATTGGAAAGTTAAGAGTTTTCTCAACTATAGAGGGTGCAGCTTCTGACACTTCACATGGCGCGACTATAGCTCCCCTTATACACATTTTTGGTTTAAAAGAGGCAAACCTTTGTGTTGTGTGAAATGTCTCCTGTCTTGGTTTGCAGGAAGCAGAGGCTTTTGCCTTGTATCACAAGGCCCTGGATCTGCAGAAACATGATCGGTTTGAGGAGTCTGCCAAAGCCTATCATGAGCTCCTGGAGGCACACCTGCTGCGGGAGGTGAGGCAGCGTCCGGCCAGGCAGTATGCCATGGCGGGAAGGAGGAGGACTCTTTTGCCCAGGGACTTTGATTTCTTGGCTGGGAGTCATTGTTTCAACTCTGTGCCCCTCATTTTCCCACCTGTATGTGCTTGCTGGGGTGTTGTGAGGGTTGAATGAATTTAGTGAAGCACAAAGAGTGGTTCTTGATGCATCGTGAGTGTCTTAGTTGCTTTTTTCTTTGCTGACACCCAGAGTTATAGGAGGGAAGGTTTATTGGAGTCAACACAGTTGACTCCAAGGCAGGTGGCATTGCAGAGGGACATCAAAGAACAGTCAGGCAGAAGGCAGCAAGCAACAAGCAACAACAAACAACCCTCTTGCTGTCTCTTATCTTGTCTACCGCCTTTAAAGTAGCCTTAATCCTTGCACCCTTAATCCTAACACTGCACAGGAATCAATCCCAGCGTCACACCCCTTAGATCCGGCCACCTTTGAAGAGACCCACCTATGACTGTGTAATATAGTTTCTGTCTGAGAGAGACAGAAGGGGGACCGGAAAGTGGGTTGCCTTCCCACAGTACTTTTCAAAGATGTTTTATACAGCAGGACCATGTGGTGAGGTGGGAAAGCCAAGTTAGTTCCCAGTAAGTGCCGGTTACTTAATCTTCACAGCCACTCTGCCTAGTTGGTAGGGGTGTTCCAATTTTACAGATTAGAGAACTGAGTCTTAGTGAGGGATTGATGGTTCCAATCCATGCTTATAAGTGAATCTATGCTTACTAGAGCCAGGACTGGAGCCTATTGTTTTCTAATACCTAAAGATTGTTGAAAGTACATTTTGGCAAGTGCTATTTGAATAACAGACCATGAGCTCAGGGAATCTGTGTAAGAATGGATGGTCTTGTCTTTTCTTTTTTCCTCTCCTCCCCTCTCCTCCCCTCCCCTCCCTCTCACTTGAGCACAGTACCCTATAGCCCTATAGGCTTATGTGTCAAGCCCCACCCCTGGATGCTTTCTGTCTCTCATAAGGCAGAATGCCGAGTTCTAGTTGTCTGCAGAGAGTGCCTATCCTTTCACTCGAAGTATTTTCTTCTATTCCTAATTATATAGGTTGTCAAGATTCTTAATTGGTGGTTATAACGTGTTGGAATTAGAGACATGGGAATTGTGATCTGCCACACACTCATTGCTAGGAACTGAGTAAGGGCCCCGAGGGGGGAAAAAGAACTCATTCCATAGATTATCAAGCCAGGTGCTGGGAAGGCTTCAAGAGTGGGTCTTCCCTGTCAACCCATGGTGGAGTGGGTTGTGGAAGCTATAACTTTCTCTAATCATGTTTATAGTCCTTATGCTCTTTCAGCTTATGTTTACCTCTGATTTCAGGTTAGGAATTATTGTCCTATTGCAGGGGTCACTGAAACATTGTTAAAGTAATTTTTGTTTGGTCTTGTGAGGAATTAATAGAGTTGGGAACTCAGCCTCTAGAGGTCTAGAGAGCCTCTAATCCCAGGGGTCTCTGAGATGAAACTCTAGGTCCTACTTGTTGCCTCCAGAAAGACCCACCCTTTGTCCTCTGTCTTCAGTCCTGCAGCAGGGAGCCTCTGGCTGGGCTGCCTTGCCGATGCTGTAAATGTCACCGTCCATGCCTGAGCCCATAAGTATGCTGGTAATGGTTGATTGGGAGGTTCTTGCTGTCACTATTGATGCTCAGACTTTTGCAAACTACCTCTGGTGGTCTGGCCTTTCTTTTCTGTGTGATTGTTGCTGGAGGGGTCTTCTAAGGATAGATTCATTGCTTAACTTTCCCTTGGAGGCTGGTACTGGAGTGGCTCAAGGGCTTATGGCAAAGGCCAGCCTGGAAGCCAGGTATTCTGCAGACTGCTTCCTGAGGTTTTAGGGCCTAGGTATCACTTCTGATCATTTGTTTTGCTCACAGGCAGTTTCATCTGGTGATGAAAAAGAGGGATTGAAACACCCTGGACTGATACTGAAATATTCCACATATAAGAACCTGGCCCAGTTGGCAGCTCAGCGAGAGGATCTGGAGACAGCCATGGAGTTCTACCTGGAGGTAGGGTTTTAGTTGATGCTCAGCTCCCTCAGTGTTTTGAAAGTTGTTTGTTGGGGGGAATAAGGTTGTGCTCTTGGTAGCTAAACAGAAAAGTTTATATCAGTGCTCACCAAGTTGTAGTTCCTGAAGCCCTAGCCAGTGGTTGGTAACAGCGAGGAAACAGGCCTGGAGAGCAGGGGTGGGGTGGGGCAGGGATGCAGAGGCCTCTGTGTGAATTCTTTTTCTTCCACCCAGTGCTTTGTGACTATGGGCACCTCCAGGTCTTTATCACTGTACTGGTAATAATAAGAAAGGATAGTTGTGAAATTAAGTGAGTTGGTATGTGTACAAGTACGCAGACAGCCTAATTTCTTGCATTGGTCATAATAGTGCTGCCCTTATTTCTATATTATCATCACTGTCTCTGTGGGCATCTCTGGTGTACCAGACACAGTGGCTTTATGTGCATACTTAAACCACTTTGCAAGGAAAATGTCTTTATCCTCATTTTAGTGATGAGAGAACAGAAGCTCAAGATCATTGTGCTAATCAGTGTTGGAACAGGGATGTGAACTTAGGTCTTCTAGAATTACACTAAGATTCCATGTTTTCATTTTACTCCTTTCGCTTCTTTTACCTGTTAAATATACATGTGTTTATATTGACAGTATATCAGGAAGGTGCTCTGAGCCAAATAAATTGGTTCACGTTACTTTTTATGTGTCATTTCTTCGAGTGTTGGAAACATCTGCCTGTAAGATGACGACTTTATTAGTTACTAGGCAGTTTTGCCAGTTTGGCATTTCTCTGGATTGTTAGAGTGGCTAGGCCCATGTGTGCCCTTCTAGTCCCCACAGGTATCTGATGAGCAAGAGCTCCAGCTGATTGTGTGTGTGTGTGTGTGTGTGTGTGTGTGTGCATGCGCACACCCTCTGCTTGTGTTGCTTCCAGGCAGTAATGCTGGACTCCACGGATGTCAACCTCTGGTATAAAATTGGACATGTGGCCCTGAGGCTAATCCGGCTCCCCCTGGCTCGACATGCCTTTGAGGAAGGGCTGCAGTGCAATCCTGACCACTGGCCCTGCCTGGACAACCTCATCACTGTCCTGTATACCCTCAGTGATTATACCAGTAAGTTAGACTTGATATCTTCTTCACGTGCCTGTAGTTTTGGGGATAAGGGAGGGAGAGTGGCTTGTGTAAGCAGGAGTCAAAGTTGACATTGCTGTCAGAATGGAAATGTTTCTATATCTTTGCTTTATTTTACTTGTCTTTCTTGATTGATCAGATGCTTTGTAGTAATAAGCATATAACCGAGAACAATTTCCCCCTTTGCCTGTCTCATTTTATCCCTGCATTATTCCATCTTCTGTGTCTGAGTCAGTTTGGGCCATATAATAAAATAGACTGAATAGCTTAAGTAGTGAAACTTATTTCTCATAGTTCTGGAGGCTGGGAGGTCTAGGATCAAAATGCCAGCAGATTTGGTGTCCGGCCTCAGCCCTCTCCTTGATTTCCAGAGGGTCACATTCTTGCTGTATCCTTCCCTCTTTCCCTGACACATAGCAAGAGTATGAGGTAGACTTCATCTAAATCTAATTACTTTGCAAGGGCTCTACCTCCAAATACCATCACACTGGGGATTAGAGCTTCAATGTAAAAACTTCAGAGACAAATTCAGTCCATAGTATTCTGCCCCTAGTTCTCCCAAGATTCATGTCCTTCTCATATGCAAAATATCCTCATTCTGTCTTAGCAGCCCCTAAAGTCTTAACTCATCTTAGGATCAGCTCTACTGTGCAGAGTCTTCTCTAAATATCTAACTCATATAGGGGTGAGACTAAAGATATAATTCATCCTGAAGCAAAATCCCTCTCCATCTGTGGCTCTGTTGTACAAGGTAAATTATGTGTTTCCATGGGACAGACATAGACTAGACATTTTCTTCCACATAGGTGAAATAGAAAAGAAGGAAGGGATCATTAGATCCAGTTAACTCCAAAATTTATCAAGGCAAATTCTTTTAGACCATAAGTTTAGGAATAATTCTACTAGGTCTGATGCTCTGCCCTCCGGGCTCATTGGTGTGACAGTGTTATTCCCACAGCTCAGTGAGATGGTCCCTGTTTTTGACTTGGGTGGGCCTTTCCTCTGAGACATTGGTCTGGGATATCGTGGCCTAACTGGAGAGGTGTCTCTCACCCTTTTAAAGAATTAGCCCTGCCTCCTATTTCTGTGGTGGGAATGGTGGCTCTGATGACCTTGGAGTCATATTTTGGGTCTTCCTGTTTTTGAAGGACAGAATATTTTTACATTCCCTCCTAATTTTCTGTTCTGAGTACCAACTGGTAGTGTTTCTGCTGGTATAATCCCATCTTTATTCCTAGCTTCTGTTAATTAAATTTATAGTTCTGGCTCATATTAATCTTGTTATGGAATGGTTTTTCAGCCATACCCTGATGCTCTTTTCAGAACAAGCTTTCTCAGTTTTTGCAATATAGATAGGCTAAGAACTTTCCAAATCTTTGTCTTGGTTTCTTTTTGTTTAACAATTCCTTCCATTGCTTCTCGGCCTTTTGGCTAAGATCAAGTGTAACATTCCTTCCTCAGTTCATTTCTGTCTTATATTTTACTATGTGGTCATCCCTTGGTATCCACAAGGAATTGGTTTCAGGAAAAGGATACCAAAATCTACAGGTGCTCCAATTTTTTATATAAATTGGCTTAATATTTGCATAAAATGTATGTATACCCTCCTATATACTTTTTTCTACATAATCCATTTATTTTGTTATATAATGACTAACACATACTGGTTGCACAAATCAGTGTAGATCCTTACTATCTTTTCAGACATGCATGTGCCTTGCATCCACCCCTCTTCTACTTTTCTCCCTCCTCCCAAACTCCCTGCCCCCAGCACCCTTCTCAAGTCCTTGGTAATCTGTCTTCTACTTTAAATCCATTCTAATTCCTCTTTTACTATTATATCTTTTTTGTTTTGCCTTTACTTTTTTTTTTTTTTTTTTTGTTCTGGGGGTTTAATATTGAACTCGGGTCCTTGCGCTTTCAAGGCAGGCCACCGAACCGCTGAGCTAAATCCCCGGCCCTGTTTTGCCCTTAAATCATCTCTAGATTTTTTGTTTTGTTTTATTTTCTTGAGACAAGGTCTTGCTGTTAGTTCAAACTGACCTTGAACTCTATGTAGCTTGGTGATTCTCCAGCCTCATCCTCCCAAGTGCTAGGATTACAGGCATATACCACCAGACCCAGCTTCTCTAGATTATTTACAATACCAAACACAATGTAAATGATAAACAAATTGTTGTTAGACTGTAAGTTTTAGGGAATAAGGACAAGAAAACCATGCATTTGCAGTACAGACACAATTTTTTTCCCAAATATTCCAGTCTGTGGTTGGTTGAATCTGTCAATGCAAAACCTGTGCATATACAGGGCCAACTAAAAGCATTCAGGAGAAACACAGTTTCTTCAACGTTTTGCTTAGAAATCTCCCTAGCTAAATATCCAATTTCATAACGCTTTGCTTAGGAATCTCCATAGCTAAATACCTAATTTCATTGCTCACACATCTGATTTCCACAGAACACTAAAACAAACACAATTAAGCCAAGTGCTTTGCAGCTGTAAAATGAGGATTACTTTTTTTAAATCCAATAATATGTTCTTCATTGCCACCTGAGTCCCAGCAGAATTTCCTTAGCATCCATATTTCTACCAATATTCTGCAAATCATTATTTTTAAGAAGATGGAAGCTTTGTGTGTATCTTTTCTTTCTGAGCCTTCATCAGAATCATCTTCATGGCAATATTAGCTTTTTCTTGCATGTACCTCAAAACTCTGTCTTCTACCTGTTACCTAATTTTAAGGCTGCTTACACATTTGTGGGTATTTGTTACAATAGCACCCCACTTCTAATACCAATTTGTCTTAGATCTAGCAACTGTAACAAAATATAGATTGGGTGGTTAAACAGCAAACGTGGAAACTTTTCTTTCCTTTCTTTTAAGAAGATATATAGCCACTGGATGGAGTGAGTATGTTGAGAAGTACAAGACCTTGCTTATCCTTCCAGCCTCCAGTTCTTGTTCTCCAGAATCACTTTAAAAATCTTTCTAATGTGGGCAGGGGATTTGGCTCAATGGTGCCTTTGCCTGCCTTGCAAGTGCAAGGACCTGAGTTCCATCCTGGTACCAAAAAAACAATCTTTCTAAGAGGCAAAACATACAAGGAAGTGTACAATGAGGTCCATCAGTTTTTTTGTTTGTTGTTTTTTGGTACTGGGGATTAACTCCGGACCTTGCACTTGTGAGGCAGGCGGCAGAGCTACTGAGCTAAATCCCCAGCCCCAAGGCCCATCAGTTTGTATGCCTGAAAAACATTTGAAGATGTAAAATGTTTGTTACGTCCCAGATCCTGGCTACTGTGTCCTTTCTACTCGTTGCAATCTCCCGTGGCAACCTTGACCTCTCCTTTTTGTTACCTGAGATCAGCTTTCCCTGACCTTGAACTTCCTCTTGGTGGGTGGAGTCAGAGGCATTTCTGACTCAGACAGATAGGAGCGTGCTTCCTTTCTCGCCCTAGTGCTCTCTGCTTGTCATTCTGTTGCCATGTGCACCCATGTAGGGCACATCTGTTGCTAGGTCGTCTTTGTTGATTTGTGGTCTATTATGTGCGTCTACACAATTTAACCACTCTGCTTGGACATTTGAGTTTTTTCTAGATCTGAACTCTACCGCTGCTACAAATGTTCTCGTATAAATTCTTTGGTGGACATAGGTATTTGTTTTGTAGGTTGCTCCAGTTTTAACTACTGAGTATGAAAGTTCAGTGGGGCAACAATTTGACTTACTCTGCAGTTTAGTCTTTCCTTGGCATTGCTCCCACAGCTGAGTACCATTGTCAGGATCAGTCTTCCTTCCCCAGCCAACTGGTTTACTTCTTTGCACTCCTCTCATGGTAGTAATTATGCTTGGTAACCATTAGTCCTTGTGGGAAAAACAGGGTAGGGGGACTGTATAGGTTCTTCTGAAAAACAGAGCCAGTTGGATATATATGCATGTATAGAAAGATTTCTTATAAAGAATTGGTTCTTCCATTTATGGAAGCTGACAAGTCCACAGATCTACAGGATGAGTTGGTGAGCTAGAGTCCTAGGAGAACAATATTACAGTTCTGGTCCAAGTCCAAAGGTCTGAGAGCTAGGAGACTGGTGTAGTTCCAATCTGTAGGCTGGCAGGCCCAGGAAGAGCTGATGTTTTGGTTCTAGTGAGAAGACAAGAAAGGTCCAATGTTCCAGTTCAAAGGCAGTCAGGCAGGAATAACTCTTACTCAGGGGGAGATCAGCCTTTTTGTTCTATTCAGGCCCTCAACTGGTTGGTTGAGTCCTCTCTGCATTAGGGAGGGTAACCAGCTTTACTCCATCTACTGATTTAAATTTTAATCTCAACCAAAAAACCCAAAATAATGTTTGCCTAAAATCTGGATACCTTGTGGTCTAGTCAAATTCACACATAAAATTAACTATCCTAGAGACTAAACTGATACCTTTAGCTATCTGTAGTAGTCCCTTGAGAGTCCTGAATAGATTTTACACTAATTTAAACCAAAAAGTAAAAGTAGTGTGTTAAATTGAGGCTCACTGAGCTAGGTAAGCAGGGGTACTGTTGGGTTAAGGTCTGCTGACCCCTTCCGGTTTTCTTGAGGTTTCTCAGGCCTTCCTCTGTGGAACAGGAAGCACGGTACAGCTAACATGCGCCCCGGGAAGCAGCAGCATTGAAAGCTTCAGTGCCTCCCTGCTTTTCTCTCCGGAAGATGGCCACCCTTTGTCCCACTGTGGTCGAGGATGAAGCATATATCCCTGTTTGCCTGAGGCAGGCACCTTTTGCTGTCGGTCAGGCAGCTGACTCTGTTGCTCTGGCCCATGCTGGGACTGTGTGGACCTTTTCCTATGCACCGGTTATAGATCTTTTGCGTGTCTTAGGGTGTGGCTCCTGTTGGATGTTGTGAGCAGGCCTCCCAGCTCCTGAAGTAGTGTGCCAGGAGTGTATCATTTTCCTTCTTTCCCAGGGCTCCCATGCCCAGATCTCCACTTCTTTCCTTGTTTTGTTCCTAATCTCCAGTTCCTTCTCTTTCTGCCCTGCCCTGTACTGAGGACCTTGCTCTTGGGAGGCAGGTGCAGCGCCACTGAGCTAAATCCCTGGCCCCTTGCTTATTTTTGATAGGAGTGACTTGTAATTACCTATGTTCAGATTGAGAAGTACAGCAGGAACGATGATAGTCCCAGTGCCTAGGCAGAGTGGAGCAGGTGCTCCTTGCACTACGTCGTTTCCCATTGTGTTCACAGAACAGTTTCTGGAGACCACAGTGATACTGTTTGCCAGGGGCTGCTCCTACTTTTAAATGTGATCAGCTTTCATAACTCACATTGTACTTCCCCGAGTCTGTGCCATCCCATTTTTGTGCATTCGTTATCCTGGTACTGTTTTCACTCCTGGAGGAGCCAGCACTCCCTCAGCTTTTCCAGATCAACAGCTTGAGAAGACTCTGCTTTGCATTGACATAAATGATGTATATGTCTTAAATTGTGGGCAATGATTGTAAGACCAGTTTTTTTAAGATGTTTTTTTTTTTTTTTTTTTTTTTTGTTTGGGGATTGAACTCAGGTCCTTGTGCTTGCAAGGCAGGCGGCAGAACCACTGAGCTAAATCCCTGGCCCAAATACTTTTTTTTTGGTACCGAGGATCGAACTTGGGCCCTTGTACGTACGAGGCAGGCGGCGGAACCACTGAGCCAAATCCCCAGCCTCTAAGACCAGTTTTTAAAATGGGGAGAAAAGGAGAAAAATTGGAAAATACAGTAAACAAAAATAAAAGAAGGTAGTTATATATGTACATGTGGACTCACTTGTTTTGTCCCCTTCTTCTGTCATTTGGTGTATTGTGGCCTCTTTCTTTGATCAGTAATCCCCTTCTTGACAACCCAGTGTGTGGCTTGGCCAAATTTCACTTAACCAGGCCTCCATGGCAGAACAGAGTAGAACAGATTTTTTTGAAGAATATTTTCCAGTTAGGCAATAGCTGGTAGCTGTGAGCCCTGTAGATTTTTGCTGCAGTTCCTCTAAGTGGGTTACCTGGTTTGAGGTCCTTTAAAAAGGTTGTAAAGCTTATTCTCTGCTGGCAGTGTTTGGGTTTGTTCGCTGTGTAGTACCGTGTCTACTTTGCTTATCACGGTCTCAGAAATCTTTCCTGATTGAATTGGTTAACGTGATATCCTATAGTTATTATTATTATTGTTACTACTATTATCACACATTTCTTATTATATAGTGGGGACATTTAAAAAATGTTAATTGGCAAGACAAGAGCTTCTGAGTGTGGCCTTGGAAGGTCTAAACTGTTTTGTTTTACTGCCAGCGTGTCTGTACTTCATCTGCAAAGCATTGGAGAAGGATTGCCGGTACAGCAAAGGGCTGGTTCTCAAGGAGAAGATCTTTGAGGAGCAGCCTTGTCTCCAGAAGGACTCACTCGTGATGTTCCTCAAATGGTAAATTCTGCCTGTCCTTACATGCTTGGTGAATGTCACAGTGCACCCGATTCTCCTCTCAAGTTTTGACCTCCCAGCAGGTGGATCCTCTGAACTTTGGGGCTTCATCATCTGCCCTGTTCCTCATCGAGGTCATACTTTGACCTGCCTTGTTTATCTCAAGTATGCCTGATCTCAGCAATTCCTCCTAAAGCTGAGATGAAGCAAATGGTTACTCTTTTCTCACTGCCCAGCATCTCTGAGTGTTTGCTGGCTCTTCTCTAGATGCTTGTGACTACCTACTGTGACAAGGTGCTGCCTGCCTTGCTTCCTTTCTTTTTGCCAAGTTTTTATTTATTTTTATTTTTTATTTTTTGGCCAAGTTTTGTTTCCCATACTGTCGAAGCTCAGTATTCCAAGATCTTGGGTTGCTCCTGCCTTGCCTCCAGGACAAATCCTATGCTCAACTGCATTGCTCAAGCGGTCATTTGTATTCCGGTCCCATGGTTCTCTGCTCTCACCTCCTGCTTTTCCTTCCCGGGCTCCTTTTGTTAGAACTGCCCTCCAGCCTTGGTGGATTCCTGGACTGGCTCCATGTGTACCATCCTATCTCCTCACCTGGGCTTCTGCTGTGTACTAATCTGTTCTGCCATCTTCCCATCCTTTCACCTGTCTTGCCATTGCTGCTCCTCCACTTTCCAACTCCCGGGTGTTCCCTCTGTAGCTTTTTGAGCTCTAGTTGCCCTCCTCAGCCCCAGCTAAGGCAACTCCTCTTGCTCTCTGGTGTTCCTTCGTTCCCGGAACTCACCTGTCGGGGGTTAGTGGTTGTTTATCTCAATGCCTATTCCCCAGACTTTGTGTCTGTGTTTACATCTGTCCTGAGAGAACTAACCTTAGAGATGACAAACACATTAGATGTAAGTTATTTATTTTAGTTAGTTATTTATTTTAGTTAGTTTTATTTAGTTAGTTCTTAAAGGAGTGGCTGTGTGGGAGGTGGCATTAGGACAGTCTGAGCAGGAGGGCTGGTGTTACTGTGTCACCTCAGGCAGAGTATGACTGGGGGTGAGGGATCTGAGCCCTCAAAGCCCCTACCCTTTCTGTTTTAGGGGAATACCATTTTGGTGAGCTTGATTTATCTGATGGCTTTTTGTTGGGGCGGGCAGTATGGGATAAATTCTTTTAAAACTTTCTATAAGTGAGAGCATGATATGATTTTCTGTGGCTTTTCAGTGATATTGTTAATGCATCTGAAAATCCTTTCTCTGCCCAGTTGTGAATTTTTGGAAGGAGCAGTGGGTGTTAGTCATTTTCAGTGTATGTGGATATTAAGAATGCTGATTCCCGCCCATTTGAAGCTATAGACTCAAGGGGTTATTTTATATGTGGGAAGACCGAGTACAGATTAAAGGGTATTAACTTAAGTACATCAGCCTTGGCTTTGTATTTTCTCTCTCTTGCACATTTTCAGTGATATGTCGATTCACAATGTGTCAGTGAGCGCAGCCGAGACACAAGCCATTGTGGATGAGGCCCTAGGGCTGCGAAAGAAGAGGCGAGCGCTACTGGTGCAGGAGAAGGAGCCGGACCTGAAACTGGTGCAGCCCATCCCCTTCTTCACGTAAGTGGCCCCGCGGAGGGGGCCCTGGGAATGCTGGGTTGGCTGCTTGGCCCTGACGTGGGATACTGCCCTGCACAGGAAGGAGGAACCTCAGGCCTGCCTCGGGGCTGGTGCTATGGGAGGGGCTGGATGCACTGAGCAGAAGGCAGGAGACATGCACTGCTTGTTGGAGGACTGCTAAGAAGTCTCAACTCTTCCTCAGGCTCGCCTCGTCTGCATCATTTTTGCTCTTGCCATTGTTGACCCCAGCCACCTGCCACATTCCTGTAAGGCACCTTTAGAGTCTGCCCTAAACAGAGAGAAAAGAAAGTTCACATTTGTTAAGCACTTGCCAGCTTGGCGCATGCCTGTAATCCCAGCACTCGGGAGGCTGAGGCAGGAGGATCGCTGTGAGTTCGAGACCAGCCTGGGCTACATAGTGAGTTCCAGGTCAGTCTCAACTACATAGTGAGACCCTGTCTCAAAAAAAACCAAAAAAAAAAAAAAAAAAAAAAAAAAAAAAAAAGAAATAACAGTAAGAATCAACAAATAGAATCATATAAAATTAAAAAGCTTCTGCACAGCAAAGAAAACAACCAACAGAATGAAGAGACCAGGTGTGGTGGTGCATACTTGTAACCTCAGCACTTGGGAGCCTGAGGCAGGAGGATTGCTGTGAGTTTGAGGGCAGCCTGAACTCTGTAGCAAGACCTTGTCTCAAAAAACCAAAACAAACAAAGAGACAACGTCTTTGGGAAAAAAAGTTTACCAGCTAGTCCTTGGACAGAGAATATATAAAGAACCGAAAACAATTTGACCACTCAAAATAAGGGACCCTATCAAAAAATGATCAGCTGGGGGCTGGGAATTTAGCTCAGCAGCCCCGCGCTTGCCTTATAAGCACAAAGTCCTGAGTCTGATCCCTGGTACCAAAGAAAACAAAAGAACAAAAAATGATCAACTGAAGTGAACAGACACTTCTTGGAAGTACAGTTGGCCAATAAATATATAAGAAAATGTTTAACATCTCTGGCCATCGCAGAAATGCAAATTAAAACAACACTGAGATATTCAGTTTTACTCCAGAAAGAATGGCTATCATCAAGAAGTCGAACAATAACAAATACTAGTAAGACGGGTGAGAATGGGGAAAGGAACCCTTCTACATTGTTGGTGGGAATGTAGACTAGTTCAACCACTGTGGAAATCAGTATGGAGAGTCTTCAAAACATTAGAACTACAAATTTACCCAAGTATTCCCATTTTAGGTATCTTCTTGAAAAAGACTTCATATTACAGTGATATGTGCATACCCATGTTTATAGAAGCACAATTCATAATAGTTGAATCATGAAATCCTGTATATTTAACAGATGAATGGATAAAGAAAAATATGGTATTTATACATAACAGAGTACTACTCTGACATAAAGAAGGATAAGCTTGAGTCAGTTGTAGGAAAACAGGTGCATCTTGAAACCATAATGCTAAGTGAAATAAATCAGACACACAAGATTAAATACTACATGGTTCTCTTGTATGAATAGAGAGCAAAATAAAAGATAGATACAGGGCCAGGAATTTAGCTCAGTGGTGCCACTGCCTGCCTCATAAGCACAAGGTCCTGAGTTTGATCCACCATACCAAAGGGGAAAAAAAAAAGATACAGTAATAGAAAAGAGAGTTCTTTTGCAAATGGGAAGGGGACCAAGAGATGGAAGGAGGGAGGGGATGCACGGGAGGGGATGCAAAAAGAACAGAGATATGTTATGCACAAGTACCAATCCTCCACAAGGAATGTGATCACTATATACTATAAATATACTAATAAAAATAAAAATTGAAAAACTTTATTTAATATTTAATTATTTTCAGATCAGATGGCCTTTTATTAGTTATATGACTTTGAGGGTACTACTTGACCTCTTAAAAAGTGAAAAAAAATGAGTGTGCTTTGATATCAGCATTTTATTACTCCCCATGCACGCACGCGCATACACACACACACACACACACACTGCGCGCGCACACACACACACACACACACACACACACACACACACACACACACACACACACACAGAGGCATTATCACACGGTGGTCTGGAGCTTCTCTCCTAGATCAGACACCTGTGGCCAGCCCTGGCACTCCTGTTGTTAGCTGGGTGACCTTGGGGACATTACATGCTATTTCCTAAAAATAAGGAGAGCAGCATGCCTTCCTTGTAGGGTCATCATGACAATGAAATACAACATTAGAGACTTCTGCTGGGGTGAGAGCAGAGGATGCCAGGTCCCTGGTCCTGCTCTAGCTCAAGCTGCTCCATCTTCAGATGTCAAGTTTTGTCAGTTACAACAATGACAAAATGTTGTCTACCCCCGTGGAGGGTGCAGCTGGATACTGCTCTGCTGCCTCTCCGCAGGTTATTTGGACCCTGTGGCAGTGCTGACCTGGTGTGGCTCTTTGCAGGTGGAAGTGCCTTGGAGAGAGCTTGCTAGCCATGTACAACCACCTCACCACCTGCGAGCCCCCACGGCCCAGCCTTGGCAAGAGGATTGACCTGTCTGAGTACCAGGACCCAAACCAGCTGCCAGCGTCCTCCATGGTGGTGGTGCCTGTCAGTGTGATCCAGCCCAGCCCTGTCAGTGCCAACCCTGCTGTAACAGTGGCTGAGCCTGTGCTTTCCTATGCCCCTGTGGCTACAAACAGCTTCCCACTACATAGTCCTGGCCTGCTGGACACAGGTGCTGCTATGGGTGAGCAGCCCTTTTGGAACTGACCCGTTGATGAGTCCAGTAGGAAAGAAGTGCTTTTCCAGGGAGATGAGTTGTGCTCCTCCTTATGGCCTAAATGAAAGTGGGAGCAGCTAGCCCTGTAGAGGAGCCGTCAGCTTGCTGCAGAACTAGTGCTTCAGCACTCAGGTACCCAAAGATGTAGCTGCTTGCTCATTGATCACCCCACTCCCAGGCTGGCTGCTCAGTCATGGCATAGAAGTCCCTCCCTCTTGTGATGTTGGTATTGGTAGGTCCCTCTTGCTGCCTGTGTGTTCTGAGTTCTTTGACTTCAAAAACTGTAAGTAAAGTCACCACCCGGTGTGATAGTACAGTTCTGTACTGTTGTAAGGCTTTTTATTATCACTAGAGTTTAAAAAAAATTGATACCTGTCACTGCCAAAAAGTATCTGATGGGCCAGGAGTTTAGCTCAGTGGCGTTGGGCCTGCCTGCAAGTGCAAGGTCCCGAATTTGATCCCTGGTACCCAACAAAAAAGAAAAAATGCTGGGCGTGGTGATGTACACCTGTAATTCCAGCACTCTGGGAGGCTGAGGCAGGAGGATCGATGTGAGTTCGAGACCAGCCTGGGCTACATAGTGAGTTCCATGTTAGTCTCAACGCTCCCCGCCAAAAAAGATACCTTGCTCTTTTTGTATCATGTGGATAGGGTCATTGACACTGGCTCCCCTCCCAGGCACATTGAGTTCCAGTGGCTCTTGCTGCTAGCAAATATGGGGAATTTGGAGATCTGGCACATGGGCTTGTCAACTCAAGAAGAGCATGAGAATTAAGAGGTTTAAACTTAATTTTATTCAGGACTCATGTTACTGAAGAAAGATTTCTTATGTCAAAAAAGATTCCCCGCTGGTAGTTATAAAAGGAGAAAACTGACATGTCTGTGTGGTGCCTTTTTCACCCCTGCCCCCTTGTAAGGTTTTAATTTGTACTCTTTGTTAAGGTGATGTCTCTGGGGGAGATAAATCCAAGAAAGGGGTAAAGCGGAAGAAGATTTCAGAAGAATATGGAGAGACAGCCAAACGGAGGTCTGCTCGTGTTCGAAATACCAAGTGCAAAAAAGAAGAGAAAGTGGACTTTCAGGAGCTTCTGGTGAAGTTCTTGCCATCCAGGTACTGTGCGCACTTTTTCTGATTTGCAGAAATGAGCCAGTCTACAGACTGCCAGCCTCTTTCTCCAGTAGTATTTCTCATTCCAGTAGCATCCTCCTCTAGGCAGCTCCTTTGTTTTCACCTAACACCTGTGCAAGTATCTGATGTACATATCTCACTGGATTGGAATCTTGTGTTTTTCTTACCTCTCCCTGCTTCTGAACTTTCTGAAGGTCGGAGCTGTTACTTGTTTGTCTTTTGGGGACCAGGTACCTCTTGGATCCTTAGAAGATGAATGACCCAGGGAGCTAGAGGCAGCACACTTTTGTTAGTTTTACATTGTAGTGCCAAAGTACTTGAGAAGATCAGCTTAAAAAGAGAAAGAATTTGCTGGGCTTGAAGGTACCTGTAATCCCAGATACTTGGGAGGCTGAGGGAGGAGTATCGCAAGTTTGAGGCCCACCTAGGTAATTTAGTGAGGCTGTCTTAAAACAGAAACAAAAACAAAAAAAAAAGATTTATTTTGGCTTACATTTTCAGATGTTTCAGTCCCTGGTTTTTTGGCCCTGTACCTTTGGGCCTGTGACAAGCAGCACATCATGGTTGAAGTGTGTGCCAGGAACTGCTCACTTCATGGCAGCCAGTAGTCTTCCATTCTCATTTTGTCCTGTGACAGTTTATTTCAGTGGTAACTGTATCAAAGTTTGGAGGAGGAGCCAGAAGCTTTAGGAGGATTATAAATTTATTTTACAGCAGGATTCCTAATTTTTTACCTTTTTGTAGTAAAGGTTAAATGAGTAGAATAAAGGTTATTCTCAATATGCAATTGATACAGGATCAAGATGAGGATACCAGGCTTCTGATGAATTTTACTGAGGCTCAGTACCAGGAGAGGATTTCTTCTTTGTGGGATTTTTTTTTGGGTACCAGGGATTGAACTCAGGTCCTTGCACTTTCAAGGCAGGTGGCGGAACCACTGAGCTAAATCGCCAGCCTGAGGATTCCTTCTTGAGAGAGCTACAGGATTGTACTTCTGTTGACTGATCCCATCTTTCCCTTACCCATGCTGTCCTATCCTAAGATATTGTCTCCCAGCTCCCTTTATGGGGAGTGGTTTCTCCTTTATTTTACTTGGTTTCCTGTGAAGTTGCTTCTTCAAATGCTCAGGCAAGAACAGTGTGGTAATTTGGCTAATGGAATCTTCAGAGAGAGTGTATGCAAGAAAGTGAAGGAATGTACGAGTGCCTGTGTGTTTCTGCTGCTGAGTTGAGGAAAATCCACAAGGATGGTCAAACTTGGGAGGAGTTTGAAATAATGGTACTGCTAGGAGAGGCCTCCCCATCCAGAGGCTAGACCAGGATGGATGTTTTGAGAGGGACCATGGAGAGACTAACCTCAGAGAGTCCTGATGAATCCTTCACACTGTCACCCTCCACCCACTTTCTGTATGCTTGCTGGGCTCCCCTGAGGTCCTGGAACATGTGTGGTACCCTTTTGGTCTCTGCTTTTTTTGGTTTGGCTTTTTTGCATGGCCAGCCCTTCTCCTCTGATTCCAGCCTGAGCAACGCCCCTCTGATTGTACTGTAAGGCAGGGCCCTGTTTCAAGCATTCTGTTGCAGTTGGTCCTGAATTGGGTTATATTTATGTACCTGCTTATTGTCTGTCTCTCCCAATAGAAGAAAAATGTCCTGCATCTGGATATGATGCACTTAGGGAATGAGATGGGAATGAATGATGGTACAGACCAGGTGCCGGCTCATGAAGCCCTGGAGAGAGGCAGAGCCTCCCAGAGGCTGGGCTCTGGATCCTTCCATCCACCTGTTTTCGTCCTCTTCACCCTGGCTTAGATTTTGTTTCCCTACTGGGGGAGATGCAGATGGCTTGTGTCTATAGTGGTGTGGCCAGGCATGGTGGTGCACACCTGTAAACCAGTTACTTGGGAGACTAAGGCAGGAGGATTACAAGTTTGAGACCACTCTGGGCAAGTTAGCAAGACTGTCTCAAAAAATAAAAAGGGTAGGGATTAGCTCAGTGGTAGAGGGCTTGCCTGACATGTGCATGCCCCTGGATTCAATCCCCAGTATCACACATACACAAAAGAACGGGTGGTATAGCTTTTGTGACTGGTATATTCCATGCAGATTAAGAAAGCTGGACCCCGAGGAGGAAGATGATCCCTTTAATAATTATGAAGTCCAATCAGAAGCCAAATTGGAAAGCTTCTTGAGCATGGGGCCTCATCGACTGTCGTTTGACTCGGCCACGTTCATGGAATCTGGTAGGGCTCAGCAATGTGATCAATCACTGTTCAGAATAATTCTTCTCATTATCATCTGACCTGCCTGGGTTTTGCTTTGGAACAAAAGTCCTGGTGTGTTTTTAAAGTTTGGTCAAGAAGCTGCCTGGATTTGCCTTGGGCCTGAGCCCTTTATTCAGCTGGGAGGTCTGATGAGATGGATGGGCTCATACTCACTGTGTGACCTGAAGGCTCTCAACAAGGGTCTGGTATGCCTTGTGCATCAGACACTCTGCTTTGTATTTTGTGGGCATGATCTTACTCAGTGCACGTGGCAGCAGACAGAGTCAGCCCTTTCGATACCCACTGTAGACATGGCAATCTCAAGCGGCTTGCTCCCTGCCAGTGAGGGTTAGAGCCAGGCACTGAATCCTGGCAGCATGACTGACCTTAGCACTGCAGTGCTTACCTGGATTGAGTGGCGGAGGGAGGACACAGGGTCTCCTCTTCCAAAGAGAACAGGTGACCAGGAATGAGAGGTCGCCTTCATCCAGGTCAAATTGTTCTCCCTCCCTGGGCAGAGAAGCAGGATGTGCACAAGTTCCTGCTGGAAAACCTGACCAACGGGGGCATCCTGGAGCTGATGATGCGCTACCTGAAGGGCATGGGCAACAAGTTCCTGCTGAGGTGGCCGCCGGGCCTGGCAGAGGTCGTGCTCAGCGTCTACCATAGCTGGAGGAGGCACAGCACCAGCCTGCCCAACCCATTACTGAGGGACTGCAGCAACAAACACATCAAGGTTGGGAGCCTGCCGGGAGCCCATGTCAGTGTGGGGTCAGTCATGGCTGTGGGGCTGTGTTTAGCCCCCTGCTGCATCTACTTGTGGGTCTGGAATGTAGATCCCTGAGGGGTGAAGCAGGAAGTCATAGGACTTGATTTGTGCCCGGAAAAGCTCTTGGTGGATGAGTAGAGGAGGATATAGTGAAGGGTGTTAGTGGGTGCAGGGGACCCACAGAAGGCTGATTTGAGCTGAGTGTTCGTGGTATTTGATGCTGGCAGTGGTGCTAGAGTGGGGATGAACTGAATGTAAGTGTGAGGGACACGAGTTGTGGACCAGGCTTCTCGTGTTATTCATGGAGGTGGAAGAGAGCTTGCTGGGAGAGGTCTGGGGAAAGGGAAGCATTTAACTGTGTTTGAGGTGCCAAACTGTTACTCATTTTTTTAACAGGTGGGAAAACAGGAGAAGAGAGGTTAACTAGGGTGTTTGGGGGAGGAAAAGAGGGGCTTCCACCACTCCACCCCAGGCTCCTTTATGAGGCATCTTCCAGAGCTCAGGAAAACACGGGCTGCTCAGGCCCTTTCTCCTATTGGAGGCGGATGCCAAGTGTTGAGGTAGGAGCATAGAGAGCTGTCACGGCCTACTCAGGTGGTCTTCATGGCTGTGAGTCAGATTGGAGTTGACAGACTTAAGGGATATATGGGTCAGGGTTACCAGGGCCCCGCCGGGACTGCCTCCTGGTAGTTCTCTCCACTCAGCCTCGGTCACACCGGGGACAAAGTGGAGTAGTAGGAGCCAAGGCTTTGGTTGCCAGGCAAACCAGGTGCTCAGTCTTGCCTGCTAGCAGTTGCCTCTTTAAGCCTCAGCTTCCTCAATGGCCCTGTGTATGATGCAGCCCCATGCGCCCAGCACTGTAGTGTAGCTGTAACATCTGGCTTGACACATGGTAAGTGACAAGGCTGCTTCTTCTGTAGGATGGTTTCTTAGGACTCTGAAGAAAGGTCTCCTGCCTCTTGTTCCAAGTCTTATTCCACTGTAAATCAGTGCGCCTCTTTATATGTCCTGGCACGTATCTATTGATTATCACTTAGGAAGTGGAAAGTAGATAGAAGAAAGAATCATGTTTTATTGAATAGTAAGTTTTAGTATCGTTCCTCTCCCAGTGCTTTGGCAAGCCTCTGTGACTTTGTTTCTGACTTTCATGTGCCTGTCCTATAGGACATGATGCTGATGTCTCTCTCCTGTATGGAGCTCCAACTGGACCAGTGGCTGCTAACCAAAGGCAGAAGCTCTGCAGGTCGGTGGCTTTATGTTCTTTGATAGAGTAATGTTCTGAACCCTAGCAGGCTGGAGGAAGTTAAAGTGGGGAGGCTGAGTCATGATGGACTTTGGGCTTAACATCTGCAGCGGGCGTATTTCCTGAGTTGGTTTGTTAGGGTCCCAGAGAAATCTCCTGGACACTCAAGGAGTGGTTAGCAGTAGCTGATCCCCAGAGGGAGTCACTTGCCTGCTTTAGCTGTTTTCAGGATTAAAAGAAGCTGGATATCAGTTTCAGAGTGACGAATCAATTCTTTATGTGTCCTGAGTACTTTTTCCAGATGATTTAGATCATTCTGACTTTTCACGTACCCTCCTGGCAGAATGGAGATGTGCTCAAAGCCCGTAAAATTGGCACCCCCCCCTTTACCCCTAGGTTCTCTGAGTCTCTGCCTGATTGGTCTGATCTCTGTTGCCTGCTGTTCGGGGGGCTGTAAGGCTCCAAGGGGCTCAGGGTATCCATAGAGATTGAGGGTCAATATTGTGAGGGCTGAGAATAACCTCTGGGGAGCAGAAGGGCATGTGGATGCTGCACACGAAGGTGACTTGTTGGCCTGATGCTTTTCAGTGTCTCCTCGGAACTGCCCTGCTGGTGTGGTGAATGGCAGATTTGGTCCTGACTTCCCAGGAGCCCACTGCCTGGGTGACCTCCTGCAGCTGTCATTTGCTTCATCCCAGCGTGACCTGTTTGAGGATGGCTGGCTGGAATTTGTAGTCCGTGTTTACTGGCTGAAGGCTCGTTTCTTGGCACTGCAGGTTGGTTTCACTGTCAGGACCTGACGGAGTATAGAATATTGGTGTGTGTGAGTTCATGTGTTCATACACAGAACCTACCTAGGCACTGGGCTTGGCACGAGGAAGTGGGGAGTGGTATTGAATTGTCAGCAAGTCAGAAATCTAAGTCAGGCTTCTAGTTTGTAAAGCACCTCACCTGAACCACAGAGCTCTAGATACCCCGATAGACCCCATCTCAAAGATTGCCTTGCTTAACTCTTTATTTATATTTCCCGAGAAGAGCCCAAGCAAGTAGATGAGTAGAAGCAGAGCTTTCTAGGAGGGAATTGTCCACCTGTTTTGTGAGAGTTCTAGGAAAACTTCTGGATAGGCCGGGATACGTTGGCTGTTAGCCACACCTAGCACTGAGTAGTACCTGGTGCTCTGTGGTGGCATGAACCAAAGATAGCCGGGGTCTCAGCAGCAGCGTTTCTTTCTGAGGGAAGTAACATTGTTTAATGTAAGGAATATCAGTTCTAGAATTAGGACAGTTTTAGATTCTAATCCTGGCTCTACAAGATACTGGTCGTCTTCAAGAGTCTTCAGTGTCCTCACCTTAACATAGGTTAACAGTGTTCCCCTCACAGTTTTGGTATGCGTCTTCATTGACTCATTCAGTTAGTCCGCAAATATCTGTTGAGCTCTAGTTCTGTGCCAGACCCTTTTGGGGGGTATAGAAGTAATTGCATTAAAACCTTGCCCTAAGCACCCACAATTCAGTGAGATCAGTAATGTGAGGACCTTGGCACAGTGCAGTCAGTGCCCTCTGCCTTTTGCCCCTTAGTCTGTCTGTCTGTTTCCATTTTTCTTTTGTTTGCACTCTCTTAATTATTTTTTAAAAATTTATTAGTATGTGTTTACAGTACATGTATTCATGTGAATAATATAGCTTGTTTCCTTTTTTAATCCTTTTCCTTTCCTGCTCTCTCCCTCCTCTAATTCCCCTTTCCCTTTGTTGTTCTTGTTGATACTGTTCACCTTAGTTCATCTCTGTGGCATATAATATTAACTTTGTATTTATTCTGATTAGGGAGACATGGAGCAGGCCCTGGAAAACTATGATATCTGCACGGAAATGCTTCAGAGCTCTACCGCAATCCAGGCAGAGACAGGGGCGGAGCAAAGGGACATTATCATTCGACTGCCCAACCTCCACAATGACTCCATTGTTTCCCTGGAGGAGGTGAGTGGAGCTTTTTAATGGTGTTTTCTTGGTCAGAGATTTATTCTGAATTGGCCCAGTTAAACCAGGCCTGGCCTGCCACTGAGGAGTGAAACAGCTGCCCATGTGCTGATCAGGGCTCCTGCAGGGAAGGAGGAGAGGTGTAGGAGAGGCAGCTCTAGCACACTACAGTTCATAGACTGCCCTGATGGTGTTCTCCCCTGATGCAAAGCTTGTCTAAGTGGCAGGCCTGAAATAGCGTGGCTCTTGCTCAGCTCTTTTGGTTTTGAGTGGTAGCATCCCTCAGAGATCTGGAGGGAACTGTTAGCTGGTGCAGACCTGTGCTGATCTGGCCACGGGCCTGGAACAGCAGTACGCAGTGCATACATCAGGCTTCATCCTTTTGGCGCTTTTCTCATGGTGCAGCCTCAGCCCTGCCATAGATCTGCATCTGTGATGTGTCTACAGTGGACCCTTGACTTATGAACTCAGTTCCTTTGTGAGGGCTGGTTGTAACTCAAGTTGGTTATAAGTCAAGACTTTTTCCCATAAGAAATAATGGAAATACCTATAATGCATTCTGAATCTCCCAAAGCACCTTCTCATAATAAAAAGGGTTGTATAATGTGCACAGTTTACCAGAAGCACTCATAGTTTTCCTAGTATATTCACCAAAAAGTTATAAATGTGCCTAGTTTGCCAGGAATGACAATTTCGTACTGTACTCACCATTCAAGTTGCCATCTTTGGTTTGCAGGAAGGGAGGATGAAATGGAACGTGGTTGTTAGGAAGGAGAGTCCCCTTCCATGAGAACATCAGGAATCTGGCTGTACTACCTCTTCTAACGCTGTTGATCATGACTTACTAATTTGAGTAACACCTTGAGCAGCCCTAGCTTCCTTATACAAATCTTTTCTCTTTAAGATTGTTGAGATGTGGCATGTGGAAGTTTAAGGCCAGCCTCTACTACATAGTGAGACCCTGTTTCAAAAAAAAAAATAAAATAAAAGATTATCTGGATGGTAGATTTCTACATGCAGTACATATTAGCGAGATTGGTTACATGAACACCATGCTCCTATTTCTCCATAATTTCCTTCTTCACTTTGATTGTGGCTGCTGTCTTTCCCTTCACTTCCTTCTTTAGCTTCTTTTCTAGCTTTTTGGGGGCCATTTTGATAGCAGTAATTACAGCAATTATATAAAGCACTGACTGAAATCATGTCCATAAACTCGCATATCTGGGCTCAGACCGATGCTTATGTGTACTTAAATGTGCTTTTATGGCATTGCGAGTCTTTGTTTATAACCGCATAAGTGGCCAGCATTTGGGTCATAACTCAAAACTTTGGTTGTAAGTTAAAACTGAAATTCTGGTCGTAACCCAAGTTGTTCAAGTATTAGGCCAGTTGTAACTTGAGAGTTCACTGTACATTGGCTGATTGTCACCCTCAGTCTCTTTCAGGTTTGTTTCAGGGCAAGTCCAGGTTCAGTGCCCTGCTCTCTGTGCTGGACTGTCAGGCTCTGTGGGTCAGTAATGTGTGCCAACCTCTGGCTCCAGTCTCTTAGTTTCTGGCCGCCTGACACTCTGGTTCTGTAAGTCTGGTTTGCTGAGCTGTGACTTTGAGGCTGTCCTTTTATTTTGGCAGAAACTATTCTGGAAACGCTCTGCTTCTGCAGTGGTTTTTAGGTCTGAGTGTTTGTTTTTAAAGAGTTAAATGCCTTGACCTTATCATAGACACTTTAAAAAGCATATCCATTTTGGTGAACACTGACAAATCAGGGAAGAGTCTTAATCATTTTGGACCTGTGAGTGTGGGGAGTCTGATTTTGTCTTCTTCATCTGTATGAGAGAAATGCAAACACTGGCCAGGCTCAGGAGGATATAAGGGGTTTGCCCTCAGGCAGCATTTCTGGACCTTTTGCAGATTGATAAGAACCTGAAGTCGCTGGAACGCTGCCAGTCCTTGGAGGAGATTCAGCGGCTGTATGAGGCTGGTGACTACAGAGCTGTTGTGCATCTGCTCCGCCCCACTTTGTGCACCAGTGGCTTTGACCGGGCCAAACACTTGGAATTTATGACCTCCATCCCTGAGAGACCAGCCCAGCTGCTTCTGCTGCAGGTGTGTGCTCTCTCGTCTGTGTCTCTTATACCTGCTTGTACCTTCTTAGCTTATACAGTGTGTTAGTTCTGTAGCGGCTGAGAGTAGCCCTTGAGAACACACTTAGAAAAATGGGAGTCTAGGAGCTGGGGAGTTAGCTCAGTGGTATCACCGCCTGCCTCACAAGCACAAGGACCCAAGTTTGATCCCTGGTACCAAAAAAAAAGGGAAAATGGGAGTCTAAACTGCCAACTCAGCCTCTAGAAAGATTCTAGACTGGTGATCTAGTCAAGACGGGAGGAATATTAGGTTCTGGAAGTGTAAGTTCTAGTGTTTTGTGTGGCTCAGGATCAGCCCCACATTTGACTTTGCAATTCTGCATGTCAGGAAGGAAAGAACGTTAAGATGTCATCCATTCATCTACACATTTGTTCATCCGTCTTCGTTTTTATTGCTTTTTAACAACTAGCAAATAGATGTAAAGTAGATGAAATATGTGTGCAGTGTAGAGAAACAAGATAAAAGGGTGTAGTGGTACATGCCTATAATCCCAGCACTCTTGAGAGGCTGAGCAGGATGATTGCAAATTCAAGCCCAGTCTAGGCGACTTAGCAACGTAAGTTGTGAGACCCTGTGTCACAAAGAGCCCCCGCCCAAGAAAAGGAAACCAAAATGGGGTGGTAGCTCAGTACAGAGGGCTTGAGCTCAATCCCAGTAAAACACACACACAAAGACCCACATGCAACACAGTTGAAGAGAAAGATTAGCAGGCAAGCACCAGCTCTGGCGGAAGGGGTCAGACAGGAGATCTGACCTTCATTATCATATCAGGCGGTGTATGGGAAGGACTGCTGAGAGTTCCTGGGTAGGAGGATGTGTGTAGCTAAGGAGAAAGAGAGGAGAGGCCAGTTCTTGGCACCTCTGTAGATCGGCCCCAACCCTCGACATCATCTTGCCCTGTAGTTGTCATCAGTTACTTTATTTGCCAGGCAGCTCCACTGATGGGGGAGCAGCTGTTCAGATGGTCACTGAAGAGCAGTAAGGGAAGCGCTCAACTTTTGTGAATAAGTGATTCTCTGTTATTGTTCAGTATATCTTTTCTTTTCTTTCTTTTTTTTTGGTTTTTTGAGACAGGGTCTCACTATGTTGAGACTGACCTGGAACTCACTATGTAGCCCAGGCTGGTCTCAAAATCATAGCAATCCTTCTGCCTCAGCCTCCAGAGTGCTGGGGTTACAGATGTGCGCCACCGTGCCCACCTTTGTTCAGTATTGGCTGTTTTCTTATTCATTGGTGTGCTTTTTGTATGTTAAAGATACTAATCTTTTTCTTATCAAGTCTTGTAAATATTTTTTGCCAGTGTGGTACTTACTCTTAAACTGTGGCTTTTATTTATCTTTTAATCTGTTTTTACAAGCAAAAGCAAAAGTCCTTTTTACCCCAGTATTGGGGATCAAAGCCAGAGGTTGTGCGTGCTAAGCACGTACTCTACCCACTGATCTGCATCTCCGGACCTGAAATTTTATGTTGGGAAATCTTTTGATGTTCGCATATGTTTATGGTTTTGTTTGTTGGGGTTTTGTTTATTACACTCAGACAGCCTGGAAAAATACTCATGTACTTATTTCACATACATGTCTTGAGCTCCCCTGGGGTGATTGGCACTGGAGGAGGGGAAAGCCCCTGATAGAACCCATGTTCTATAGGGGAGGCAGGCAAGAAACACAAAAGCAGAGATAAAAAGCACATTTGACCTTGTTTGCTTTTAGTGTTATTCATGTTTTACATTTGTCTTATTTTCTCTTGTGTCTGTAGAGGGGAGGGGTCAGGTTTGGAATCCTCCCCACTAGGTTTGTGAATGCCGTCTCCCAATTTAAACACGTCATCTTGTATGTTCCTCAGTATAATTGTGTAGTTTTCTTCCTGTTGGGTTAATTCTTAGGTCTTAATTTTTTTTTGGTTGCTATTTCGGGAGGGATCTTTTTTTGGTCATTATATTTTCTAGCTGTATGTTGCCAGTTTCTAGGAACCCTATTGGTTTTTGCCTGTTTATTTTGAATCCAGATGCTTCACAGAATTCCCGTGATTTAGGGTCATTTTCTTTTTGTTTGGGCAGACCATTGTGGTGCCCAGTCAGTGGTAGTTTGGTCTCCACATTCGTTGGTAGCTTTTCTTCATTTTTTCAGTTCTGTTTGGCCTAAAGCCCCGGGGATTGTGTCATGTTAGAGCACTGCTGGCCATCCTTGTCTCTGATTTTTACAACCCGAGGAAGTACATTTGTAGCTTAAGGCCAGTGGTGTTTATTTGCCTTTATGCCTTCAGTGCTTTGACCAGGGCGGATCAACTCAGGTTTGGACCCCACAGCTACACTCTACGGGCATCTCCCACCTCAGTGGCCTCTTGCTCGAGGGTGCTGGCTTCTTCTAAAGAAACAGGCTCCCTTTTCCTGGTGATTAGGGCTGACAAATTGGAGGAGGTTTTGATCTGTTTTCAGACATTGCAGCACATTCTAAAGGCAGGATGTTTCTGCTTTCGTACCTGTTGGTGTCGTCCCAGAGAATGGCAGCTGCACATGTCAAGGTAGGCAGGAGCTACTGCTGGGCCTGGACTCTAGGGAGATGAGAGCCCAGTGAGGCGCCAGACAGCAGGTGCTTGCTGCTGGTCCAACAAGCAGCCCACCAGATCTGTGAATTCATAGACATGCTGTGTTTTTCCACGTACCATCTGGTTATGAGAGTCTGAGATCCCAGGTGTTTAAATGGAATGCACTTTTGTAGTGTAGTCTAGTCCTCTCCCTTCCCCCATTGCAAAAAGTGATGGCTTCCAAAGGGGAGATGCTAAAATAGAAGTAACATCAGTTCGTGGGATATTCATGTTACTTCTGAGGGGGTGATGAGCGGCTGAGGTTGAGAGGGGCTCATCGCTTTGGCCCCGCCTTGGCATGGGGGAGGAGAGGGCTCATAGATGGTGACTTTGGTGCTGCCTCGCCGCTTGCCCTTGCTGTGGCCTTGCTTCAGACCTGCCTCTGCTGAGACCATTTCTCCCTGCCAGCCTTCACCTGTCCTGCTCCAGAGCTCCCTCCACAGCCCTGGCACTGGAGGGATGTGGTACCTGGAGGGAGAGCAGGCAGATGTCAGAGTTCCACAGTCTGATCTTGGCCACTTGCCAACTCTGTGGCCTCTTTCCCAGAAGCCCTGCTTATAAATGGGGAAGATGAGGTACAGAGATGAAGTGCCTTTCTGAAAGCCCTCTGGCAGGTGGCATGCCATGCTGCCTTTGCATACAGGTGACCATTGGCCTCCAGGAGGCCTCACGATTGTGTGAAGGCTGTGCTGCACTAGGGGTACCTTCTTTTTTGTCTTATTCCCTGTTTCTCCCCTAGCTGTCCCTACCTCAGTCTGAGACTCGTGTGCTGAGCTCATAGTATATGTTTCAACTTTCTTCTTCTTATGCTCAGGACTCCTTGCTCCGGTTGAAGGATCACCAGCAGTGTTTTGAATGCTCTGAGGTATCTCTGAATGAGGCTGTCCAGCAAATGGTGAACTCAAGTGAGGCTGTAGCCAAGGAGGAGTGGGTGGCCACAGTGACCCAGCTGCTGCTGGGTATCGAGCAGGCACTCTCTGCAGACAGCAGTGGCCACATCCTGAAGGAATCGTCCTCTACCACTGGCCTCATCCGGCTCACCAATAACCTCATCCAGGTAGCCCCTGTCTCCTCACCCCACCCTGCTCCAGCAGGTATGTGGTTATGATGCTTTCTTTCTTTTTTTTTTGGTTTTTTGAGACAGGGTCTCACTACGTAGTTGAGACTGACCTGAAACTCACTATGTAGCCCAGACCACTATGTGGTCTCGAACTCACAGCGATCCTCCTGCCTCAGCCTCCTGAGTGCTGGGATTACAGGCATGTGCCATCATGCCCGGCTATGATGCTTTCTTCTTTAGTAGCTCCCTGGCTTTCACTGTGAATTAGGCACCCCCGAAGGGGCACATTAGCTTCTCTGGCTGGAACTTTTGAGACCTGAGGAAGTGGATATTCACAGGCTTCTGATCTCCCTGGAGCTGGTTGGACCTGGGGGTTAAAGATAGTGTTGCATTGGATATGACAGAGTTATTCTAGCCCACTCCTCTTAGAAGAGAGGAAAAAGGCTCAGGGGGAGGTGCAGGCAGAGTAGGGGCTCAGCCCAGGCCTATGGACTCCCTGCCAGGGCTCTCCGTCACGTGTGCCACCCTGGTACTTCTAGCTGAGGGATAGTCACAGCACCCTGCATCATCCAGGTAGGCTTTGAGGCAGAGAGCTACCCCCGAGCCACCCTCAGGTCTCTCTCTAACTTCCACTCAGGCCATAAGTAGGTCCTGCCATACCCACTTTCTTTGCATCTTTAGCTTTTGTTTCTTCCTTCCATCTTCCTTGTTCTGCTTTAGTCCAGGCCACTGCTGTCTTCTTGCATGAACTATGACAGCACACACCTTCCTGCCTGTCTACCCTTCCTGCCCAGCCACCAACCTGACACAAAGGTGCTTTTCCAAAAGTGAAAAATGAAAAGATGGCTGTGTTCCTTTCTTCCTTAAAATCATGCCCATTTCCTCTGGGTAATGTGTGTCCAAGGTACTCTGACCCTTCTGCCTGCCTGTCTTTCCATTTCCACTTCCTTGGCTGCAGCCATTCCGGGCCATCATCTGGGGTGCCTACTACAGGTTTGTTCTCTCCTCACACTCTGTCCTCTTTGGGTGTCAGGTAAAGCACAACCCCTCATCTAGACATCTCTTCTTAAGGGTTTGCTTTTATCTGCCCGACTCCTCCTCTGTGGCTCCCTAATCTTGTGTGTGTTCTCATTGCAGCAGCTGACAGACCTTTAGCCCACTTGTAGTTTGCCCAATTGCTCTCTCCTTCCAGGCTGGTCTGCGTTATACAGTTAGTAACTGTCGTGTCACGAGGAAAGATGGTGCGTGACTGTCACTGGGCGCTGTGAGGGCCTGTCTGATAATAAGCTGGGGTGCTGCTAGAACAGCATTTCCATATTAGAGCATTGGGGGTGGGAAGCCCTCCTCTCCTAGGGGACCCTGCCATGGGGGCTCATTTCAGGAGGGCAAGGGGCAGAATTTGCCCCTTTATAACACTCCCATGTCCCCCGCCAGGTCATCGACTGCAGCATGGCTGTGCAGGAAGAGCCCAAGGAGCCCCATGTCTCGTCAGTGCTGCCCTGGATCATCTTGCACAGGATCATCTGGCAGGAGGAGGACACCTTCCAATCCCTGTGTCACCAGCAGCAACTCCAGAACCCGGCGGAGGAAGGTGCGCTGGTAGCAGGTGTGGTGAGGACAGGCCCTGATCCACATGTTCTTGACCCTGGCCTCAGCTCCAAGGCTTGAGACTCTCTCAGGTACTGTAGGCAGGCCTGGAGCTCCCTGTGACAGGGTTTCACGTGATTCTACGTAACAGACAGAAGCAGAAGCTTTCCTGTTCCTTACCTCAGTAAATTCACTGTGGGCAGGAGGCATGGACATGTGACATACACATCTGGTCCCGGTAGCAGCCTGGAGGGAATGTGTCAAGGAAAAGGCTTTAAGGAGTGCTTTGAAGTGCGTCATATGCTGACTCCTCCAGTCCCCATGGTAGCCTGAGACACGGGAAGCCAAGGGCAGTGTGAAGCAAGCACAGGTTCCACATCCCTACCGTCACTTCTCATTTCACCTAATCTGTGTCTTTTTTTCCATGTCCATATTGGAAATAAAGGCACCTTCCTCAGTTATTGTTCCTAGGACAAAATGAGGTCACAAAGTCATGAAGCACCAGGGTAAAGTAGTGCCTGGCATGTGGAGGTTGCTAAGTGATGAGCAGAATTAGGAATTGAGAAGCAGGGAGGGTGAACCTGGGACCCTTAGTGGAGATGGTACTTGAACCGTGGTCAACACAGTGGTAGAAAATGTGCTGAATTGAAGAAACTGTATCACAACAAACACTGAAAACAAACATTGCCTATTATCCTGCCACGGATTATATAGCTGTAATAATAAACGTGTATGCATTTATTCAGCTAACTTAAAAATAAGTTTATTGGGGAATTTCCCTCAGTACGTAGCTTGTAAAACAAGAAAAGTGGAAAAGAAAGGAAAGCTATTCCAACTGCCCAGAGAAACATGTGATTTGTCTCCTTCCATTCACTGCTTCTATAATTTTGTTGATTCCTCAGATATTTCTTAGCTGCTCACTACATATTCAGTCTCTGAATAGGACCCTTCTGGCCTTGACAGGTTCATGGTGGGAGGAGACAGATGAGTTTTTGGACAGTGCCAGGCCGGTGAAACTGACTGAGAGGAGGGCACCTGAGGCTGCCCCATTGAGATGGTGGTTGGGCTAAGGACGAGGGAGAGCAGAAGCAGAGTGTGCCTGGTGGATCAGGACTCAGAGAGCTTCAGGTCCAGCAGGAATCTAGCCAGGGGGTTGGGCCAGATTGCAAAAAGCTTTTAGACTCTACATTGTGAAGTGGCTCCTGTTTTGCTCCATAGTCTTTTCTGTATAAAACATCCTGTACTGAGCTGACCACCTGCTGAGTCTTTAGGAAGATTTCAGTATTGCTTTCTTATAGGTCATTCTATAGTAACACCTTATGCGTATCTTTTTATTTCTGCTCAGTTTTTTTTTTGTGTGTGAATTTTTGAGAATGAATACTTTTAGAGCTCTTGACAAACTACCTCATTGCTTTCCAAAAATATATATATTTTTTTGTACCAGGGATCAAACTCAGGACCTTGAGCTTGTGAGGCAGGCGCAGTGCCACTGAGCTAAATCCTTGGCCTCCAAAAAGATTTTTATAGAGAAAAATACATAAGATTAACAACTATATTATTATTTTTCTTGATTCTCCTTTCCCCCAAAATTAATTATACAAAAAAATATATATAGTTTAAAATTTTTCCAGGAAAGAAGGAAAAAGAAATGCTCAAATGCCTTCAACTTTGAAAAGTACATCAAAGAGAAAGAAAAGATTCTGATAGACTGGAAGCAGGTGTGGCTCTGTTCCTTCCTGTCCCTCTTTAGGTAAACTGAGAGAAGACATTACTGTATATTGACCAAATCCTTGGAAATATTAATAATATCCTCTTGTTTGTAGAGAGCAGATTGATGGAGAAGCTCATCCATATTACCCTGGCCATTAGCAGAAGCGAGAAGGGCTTCTAGGTCCTTCCATGACCAGACTGAGTTGAGGGATGAGTTCAGGAAAAAAATACACTTCTGACCGGGTGGTGAGAGGCTTGGTGAGGGCATTGTCACATATTGAGCTCTCTGGAACCAGATATGGAGACATGATTTGTTAGGGATTGATACTTACAAAAGAAGGTTAAGAGGTAGGAGGGTTGGGCAGAGGGAGAAGTTGAAAGCCTGTGGTGCAGGCCTAGCAAAGCCTTGGCCAACTGGCAGGGAGCTTGGAGTGAACAGTTTTCCATCAGAGCTGTTCTTCCATGCTGGACTGAGGTAGCCAGGCCTTTATATTCCTATCTCACTCAGTCACTGGCTGTGGACTTCTACAGGAAGTGCTGTCCTCCAGTGAGGTGAGTTCTGTAGTGCAGCAGACACTGAGGGAGCTGACAGCTGGAGGTAGCAAATTCTGCCTAAGTGGACGGGGCGTTCCTCAGAAGATAGAACAAAACCTATATTCTCCCCTAACCAGGAAGGTGGTGGCAAAAGAAAAGATTGACTATAGCGTGTAAAAATTCAAGACAAAAGAAAACAAGAAAAACCACAGATGAATTCAGCCTAGAAGAGAACACACACTAAGGAAGAGAGGCAGAGTTCCTATAAATGGTTTGCACGAGAAACTAACTTATTTAAAATTTGAATTAAACAGAATGAAATGAAAAGGAAGATTGTATAACTGAAGGAAAACCTTGTAAACCAGATCTCACCATTAAAAACTTGCAAGAAACTGAAAGTGTAAATAAGTATTAAAATGAATAATTGATAATGTGAAATAGGAAGAAAAGGTCCAAAGGGGTAGGGGATGTGGGAGGGTAGGGGAAAGGAAAGAGAAGGGCAAGGAAAAAATGAGAAAAGGAGAAAATAGAAACAGGGGTGGAAGAGTTGAAGGGATGGCAGCAGAATGGGCGGGCAGGTGGGGGGGACTTACCATCCCAAATGGCAAGGAGCAGAATGAATATGACTTAAACAGAAATGAATGGATGCAGCTACAATCTTGAGGCATTAGAGGGAAGATGATAGAGTTGGAGGACAGAGATGGTGCAATGTAAGGACAAGTGGTGCCCACAATGGAAGCACTCCAGCAGTGAAACAGGAGGAACCACCTCCATGTCAAATACAGAGCAGTATCTGAATAGAGCAGAAAGAGAATCTACAGATTCCAAATATGTAGTAGATACCAAGAGGAATTGATACGCAGCAATCCGTATCAGTCATAGCCTAGTTAAACATCTACTTTAAGGATAAAGATTATTTAGGTTTCTAGGTTGAACAAGCAATTTATTTGTCTATATGGGGCCAAAAATGAGACTCATTTCAGAAGATAGAACTCCTAGCAGTGTTTCGTGCAGTTGGAGTGACGTCTGTAAGTCTACCTAGTTCTCAAGATATCTAGTAAAATTGTAATTGTGATGGTAACAGATATTTACAAACAGGAATGCTAGCTTCCATGAGCAATTCTTACGAATGATTTAAGTCAGTAAACCAACATGAAAATGGCAAATCCATAGGAGAGAGTTATGATGAGCACCTAGTTCACTTAGAATTGGAGTTGAGAGAAAGCATTTGGCTGGTTACAGAAATGTTATAAATCCAGATTCTCTACAACAAAACTGAGAGGTAAGGAGAAAGGAAGTGTTACAAACCTACCTAATGATTTTGGTAATACTCATTTGATGTCTTTAAAAATAGAAACTAAAAGATCTATAAAAAATGGGAATGTTTTGAACTTCTGAATGGTTACCTGACCTTTTTTTTGTTGTTGTTAGTACAGTGGTTATACTGTTTTTGATGGTCTGAACAATAGTAAAAAATACAAAACATTTCATGAAAAACATTTCTACCTGGCATGGTACCTCCTGGTATTTTCTTTTCTGATATGTTCTGTTTTTTGTTTTTTGTTTTTTTTTTTTTGGTACCAGGGATCGAACTTGGGACCTTGTGAGGCAGGTGGCAGATCCATTGAGCTAAATCCCTGGCCCTTGATATATTGTTTTAATCAACTAAAAATGCCAGTAATAAGCCTCTAATAGATTATAGCCCAGAATTTAAATATACTGAGGATTTTTAAGGAATTAGTAATAATTTAATGATGTACACATACTTAACTGAAATTTAGTAGTTCATACCCCTCCGCCTTTTTTTTTATACTGGGGATTGAACTCGGGACCTTGCACTTGCCAGGCAGACAGCAGAACCACTGAGCTAAATCACCAGTCCTCATTTTTTCCCTTTTCCTTCTGTACTATTCAAGTACACCGAAATATAAAAATTTTTAGGAAATGGTATGTGTAGTGTGGGTACCATTGTTATAAATTTATTTGTGCCTTTCTTTCAAAATGCCTCACATATCCACAGAAAGGTGCTTTGAGTGACAGTCACCCGATAATCAGCATTGGTTCTCTGGAGGCTAGTGTTTTGGTGAATGAAGTATTCCTTATTTATGTTTTCCTGTATGACTTGAACTGCTTTTTATTTTATTTTATTTTATTTTATTTTATTTTATATTTTATTTTATTTTTTGA